CTGTCTGTGTTTCAGCTATATGGTTTTCATGTTTCTACCAGACAGATTGTAAAATAGCCTGCAGGTTTTGTTGACAGAGCTCCTCCAACCACCAGGGGGCAGTGAGGGGAACATGAGGTTAAAGCTAATGTGGCAGGGCTGTTGTTGCTGCACAAATGCAAAGATATTCTTTACATTTATACATATAAATTATGCAATTTTGCTGATTTTTGAATCTTAAGTTGTCTAAACAAATAAACAGGCAGCCAGGCATGTACCATGATAATTACAGTTCTCAGTTATTTTTCATTTATATTCACCATCACAAAAGTTGTTCTGTTAAAAAGTATTAAGATCTTGTGATTATATGGTTATTCATATACCTTGTTATTTATATGGCACTCTAATGCCAAAAGTTTGGAATAATTACAATTTTTAAATGTTTTTCTCACCGAGCACCAAGACTGCATTTATTTGAACAGAAATACAATAAAAAATAGTTATATTGTGAAATATTATTATAATTTAAAATAAATGTTTTCTATTTGAATATATTTTAAAATGTGATTTATTCCATTGATGCAAAGCTGAGTTTTGAGCATCATTACTCCAGTCTTCACTGTCACATGATCCTTCAGAAATCATTCTAATATGTATATTTGGTGATCAATTCATCACAATAATTAACCAAACTTGGTTGTAATGTTCAAGAAATAAAGAACATGTTTTCAGCGCTAAAAATAGCTCACATGAATTAAAACTTCAAAACGAGAACCTAAAACACAACAGTAATTGGCGGTAAACATTAGAAATCCTTCTCAAGGTTAATAAAGTTTCAGTCAGGCCCATAAACAGACTATACTGTACATGTGGCATCATCTCATGAATATGCTTTACTAGTCTCCCACTACGACCTTCAGATGAGATGCCACATGACCTCTGCAAAACATTTTACTGGCAAAATCAAATAACTCGAGAGTCGTAATAAATCATGATTCACTGGGACTGCATGACATGATAAAAAGGAGCAGATATCGCATTTGATGAAAAGGTTGTTTTATTCCCCCTGATAGCACATGGTGTAGCATGAAATGAGAGGTTATTGCTTAAATTATAGTTTTCGGCTGAGCTAAGCAGTCCTCTTTAAGATTACTAACTAGTTGCATTAACTAAAGAGAGCGTCATTAGAAGGTGTTTAAGTGTATAAATGCATTCGTTTGATGATTTGATTTGATCGCTTTTGGATAAAAGTGTCTGCTAAGTGCATAAATGATGTTCAGTATAGTTCAGAACACTAGGTGCTAAATCAATGTTAAATGCAAATAATAAAATATATCTATATAATCATATGTGACCCTGGACAACAAAAGCAGTCATAAGGGTCATCTGAAAGCTGAATACGTAAGCTTTCCATTGATGTAAGGTTTGTTAGGACAATATTTGGCTGAGATACAACTATTTGAAAATCTGGAATCTGAGGGTGCTAAAAAAAATCAAAATATTGAGAAAATCGCCTTTAAAGTTGTCCAAATTAAGTTCTTAGCAATGCATATTACTAATCAAAAATTAAGTTTTAATATATTTACAGTAGGAAATTTACAAAATATCTTCATGGAACATGATCTTTACTTCATATCCTAATGATTTTTGGCATAAAAGAAAAATCAATCATTTTGACCCATACAAAGTATTTTTGGCTATTGATACAAATAATAAACAGGGTTATTTAAAGGAATGGTTCACCTAAAAATAAATCTACTTACCCTCAGGCCATCCAAGATGTAGATGAGTTTGTTTCTTCATGGAAACAGATTAGGAGAAATGTAGCATTACTTCACACACCAGTGGATCCTCTGTAGTGAATGGGTGCCGTCAGAATGAGAGTCCAAACAGCTGATAAATACATCACAATAATCCCCAAATCATCTACATTACTCCATAATCCATTATAACACTTTCTCCAATTATAAAAGTCTCCTGTATTGACGTATTAGAACGATTTTGGACTGTTTTTCTTGTAAACAGTGCTTTATCTGTGCATATTTCTCACCAGATTTCGATTAGATGACTTTTTCACTGGAGAAAGCAATAACCTGAACCTTAACTGTTAGGATTTCCACTTCACAAGATGTTAATTGGAGTGGTGTGGATCACTTGTGGATTACTGTGATGTTTTTATCAGCTGTTTGGACTGTCATTCTGACGGCACCCATTCACTGCAGAGGATCCATTGGTGAGCAAGTGATACAATGCTAAATTTCTCCAAATCTGTTCTGATAAAGAAACAAACTAATAGACATCTTGAATGGCCAGAGAGTGAGTAATTTTTCAGCAAAATTCCTTTTTTTGGTTGAACTATTCCTTTAACATTTGAAAAGGGAGGCTTTTTTTATGTAGTATCACACAAGCTGGGTGTCAAATCAAACTTTGCTTGTCATTTGTTAGTTGCAAGTCAAATTAAGCTAATGCCAACATAAACAGATTGCATGACGTTCTCAAACTTGAAAACTGTAAAATTAATACACTTCAGAGTTTGATTTCAGTGGGTGCTTTTGTATGACAGACACTTCTTTTTTGTAAGCAAAACTAGTCACAACTCAACATGATTGAACTTGAATCACATGATTAATACATTTCAGAGTTTGATTTTAAGCACATCTTGTGTACTTTCTCATGAAAAACGCTTCTTTTTTTTCTAGGGAAAACCAGTCACAACTCAACACGATTGAACTTGGGAATCTGAATCACACGAGTATAAACAAAAACTTGTTTATAAATCGGACTTCACAATGAAACCAATGGTCCTCCGTCCAAACGCACCCATGCAATGTTGTCCTTTAGGAATCAAATTTCCAGTTTTTGGGATGTGACAGTGTTTTGCTCTGATGAGGTTTATGTTTGCAAGGAGAAACCACACTCTTTCATCAGCCCCGGAAGTTTCCTCCCACATACTTCTCCATTTTCTTGCATTTTCCAACCTGTCTTGTCGGGCCCGCTGCATGTGCACAGCGGCACCGAGCAGCACCATCCTCCAAAACCCCGATGTGGTTGAGGAACCAACGACTACGGCTGCTGGGCTCAAGTGGCTTCAATTACAGATGCTCACAATTACAGAGGAAAAGAACAGGGTTGGGAAGAACGTGCCAAGCACAAACACTGCCTGGATCACAGGGGGAGAAGGAGGGAGAGAGCAGGGAAGTCAAACGTTACCATCCCACCCAACCGCCGCCGGGTTATTTTGGGATCTCGGTAGTTTCGGCATTTAGATACTAACTGGATTTTAGTCGCTGTACTTGTTGGTTAGGACTAGATTTAAGCTTCGTCTTCGCATCTGAGATTTGAGACTTCTTTTTCTGGGAACTACTTGAAATTTCCCCTCTGGAGTCAGAGGTTGTAAAACGCATATTAGTGAAGTCATTCTGAAGACTATTAGCTCTTACGATTGAAATGCCATAGGCATGGATTTGTAGATCTGCTGTGTTTACATGAGACGATTTTGGTGTTTGTTTACCGTGGAGTGTCGTTTTCCCTAAACAGCCATTTACTGGGCCACATGACTTGAATAACTGGATTGCGTGGCTATTTGCTCGCAGATTACATCAAACTTAATTAAAAGCAAACAGCAAAGGACAGATCCGCTGCCTGCGCAAGTCAAAAAATAACACTCTGAACCACATCATAAGACACCCAGAATGCATTTGCTTGGCGTGACTCTATTCTGACCTCTGCCACGTGACCTCTGTGAAATATTTTACTTGCAGAATCAAAGAGTCGTAGAAGATCAAAGAGCAAATCTGATGCTTGAACACTTTTGACCTGGTTAGGAGCTCCCAGAAGAATGTTTTAATACTCAGATGATGCTTTTTTTATAGCTCAGGAGGCTTGTTGGAGATCTCCGTTACGCTTCATTGAGGTATCAGCTTTTGTCTCAGAAGCTCTTGAAAGACACATTTTTGCACAGCTCAGATCATTTGGCTTCAGGATCATATCGTTCATTGTTGAACTTTTGATCGTAGACTGGCACATCTGAGCACAGTTTGAGGCATTCTTAAGCTCTTTTGAAACTCACAGAGGTCTTTTTCGCAGTAGAAACAACTGAAGTCTCACTTTGCTCTCTATTTAATCTTGCTGCTGTTATTTTGATTCTCCTTCGGGAAAATTCCTTTATACTATATAATAAAATGTACAAAAAATAGCTGAAATAGCCTATATTTACATAAATATATTTCTGCCAATATATTTTGCATATATTTAAAATATATTTTGGCCAGAAAAAATGCCATATGGGTACACACACAAAAATAAAAATGATATTGCTATATGTAATGCGACATTAAAAAGAGGGACCTTTTAATTCTAGATTGCATTTGATTAGTTAAAAATTTGTATACGCTGGTAAGTGTGACATTAATCAATAGTTTTGATTCGTTTTCCCATAAGAGAAGTGCAGAAATGCATAAACATATTTAGTCAACTTTTGGGAGAACGCTAGCATATAGATGACTTTAAAACTAATAAACATTGACTCAAAACCACAAAAGTCCAAATTTGATTTCATAAAAACAGAACTGGGAAGTGAAATTAATCTTTTCAGGGTGGTATCTTCCTTTTTGGGTGATATATTAATTTTTGTTGACTGGAAGATCTGTATTTATTAGCCAAAGATGCAACCAATTTCTCATCTCGCAGCATCATGACCTTAATTGTTGTAATCCAGACATATCCGTCTGTTTTTACAGTCTACTCAACATCTGGGTTGCTAGAGAATCCTAGATGAAGGGCGGGATGATGCCATTCATTATGACAGGGATGATTGACAACAACACTGTAAAACATTTACGCGGTCCTTAAATTATGATAAGACATTCCGCTCTTTCTTAACAATACATTAAAATAAAACTCAATCATTGTGTGACTGAGTTATTCTAAGTCCATTCAAAACATATACGATTTCCATACGAGTCTCGCCGCTCCCCTACCGTCCGAATGGTACGCTCCATTTTAAAGCGATAGCTGCGACTCCACGCTTCTAAAGTAAAGCGCGACGCTTTCTTGAGGTACGGACTGGAGAATACCATGCCATCGACGCGTTGAGCGCATTTACGGCTTCATACGGGCGTTTTGCACAGGACAGTAAAGCGATATCTCCGAATTCGCCTGCGATACGCACAGAGAGGCTCTACAACACCCAACTGTGGATGTAACTGTTGCACTTTGAACACAGGTACGAGTGATACACAAACATTCGCGCGAGCGATTCATTCTGATGCATGGCTTTATTGTAGCGAAATCGTGAATGCATGATCCGGAGATGTAACGCGTGCTGCTTTTACCACAAAAAACAACGCGATCTCTTAGATGAGAGGATAGATGGTTAAACTGCTGTGTGGAAATGATCCTGATGGATGTGGTCAATAAAGCCAGCAGGAACAAAGGAGGCATTAAAAGCAGTGTTTAGCTAAAAGGAGGTAAAAAATCCGTGCATGTGTGTTGTGCATTAAGAAATGCATTAAAATGACTTGACTGTTTTTGCCAATACACAATGGATAATTATTCCATTCTTGCCTGTTGGTGGTTGTGCATGGATCTAACACATGCATATTGACATTTCAGATGGAAAGTTGCTTTGGATAAACCGTACAGACCACAATCAGGGGTCGTAGCTAAAGAAAAAAAAAGCAATGTTTTAGTTAATTAACACAGGCAGATTAAATAGATACTCGGAAAAAAAGGTGATATCATGCACTCAATCTGTTTGTCTGTCACATCTGTAACAGTCACATGACTAAAATATTGTTTTCCTCTAGGCAAATGACCCAAATGGTGTTCCTCCCATTAAAGCCTAAACTAAAATCAAATGTATTGCTTCATTTGCACATTGATTTCGTTTATTTCCTTGCATGGGTAATTGATGCGATGAGATCCCCGCGATAAGATGCAATTGATGCGTTTGTACCAAATCTGATCATTCAAATCCTTGGGTGCCAGTTTGATCCATGTCTGGGTGGAGAGGAGAGGGGCTGTGGCTGCCTGCAGTAGCCGGATCAGGGATGCTCTAACACGGGCTGAGATTAGTTCGAGCTCCGCTGCAGGATGTTCGGTGCTGTGGAGGAGGGAACCGAGCAAAACGCGTTTTACACATAACCGAAAACAATCTAATCTCCGATCTCTATATCGGAATATATGCTTTGGGGAAAGGATAGACGATCTGCATGGGTAAATTAAATTAAAATAAGAGCTTGATCTAAAGCTATATATTAAATAATACATAGGGTTTGTGTGGAATTTAAGTTGTAACATTAATATTATTTTAGAGATGGATATATGTATAATCAATCAATGTTTATGTATTTCCAGTAGTTTTGCATTTTCTTTTGTAAACTGATTTATTTTGGAGACTGAACAATAATAGAGATTCCATATAGATTCGATGTGTTTTGCTCGATTGGCTCCTATGTGAAATTCAATTTTCTTTAGGATAGATGAAACTGCAGTGTAGCGAACCTAAATGGATTGATTTAGGCTGGAAATACCTCCATAAATAAATTCAATCAGTGCATTAACCGACAAATTGGCCACTGATGTAAAAATAGAAAGTTGTTTGTAAGCGGGGAGACAACGGTCTGCTGTTATGGCTCTACTACAGTACATAGAACAGATAAGCATCGCAAGTTACCTGGCGTTTCTGGTCACGCACATGTGTAAATGAATTATAGGCCACATGTTTCACCCCCAGGACTGAAAAGAACGCCCACTGAATTCAAAGCAAGACTGCTCAATGTGTTTCAGCCGTAAGTACTAGTGTTTTTTTCTTGCTGCATTATTAGATGATGTTGCGTTGATGAGATCAGTGCTGGTTTATGAATAACCCGTCCTCGTCAATTGAAGCACAGTTCTGCTGACCTTGTGCTGGCTGTGATCATCTCTATATCAACACAGCCACTGTCGCCCTCTGCCCTCTTTCATCAGGGCACATGCTATTTAGTTGTCTGTTTGATTACCGCCGGCCGAGCACCTGAGGATAAATCTCAACTGTAAATTTGCGCTGTGATTCGCTCGCCTCAGAGCAAGGTTACTGTCCTGCGTACTCCGGCCTTGTGATGTCAACGAGCGGCTCTGTATATCCTTGAGTGCGGAATAAAACGGCAGCGTTGTGCTCTCGTCCTGTGAGTAAGCCATGAGTACAACTGCCATGTGGAGTCACGGCTGGTGCTAATCACTGAACAATAGCTACTGTCTGTTCTCAAACTTTCTCGCTCTCTCTCTCTCTCTCTCTCTGCCTGCTGCCTTCCCAATGCTTTAGGCTGGTGGATTTGTCTTGTTATATTGGATTAAGGTTTAATGTTTAGTTTGAAATACTAAAGACGGCGTAAACGTCCTGTGGTTTGATTAGTAGTGTGTTGGAGGTCTTATTAGCTTGTGGTGACCACAGTAACAACTAAATTATCATGGTGAGTTTAATATGAGGATTCAGATGTCACTGTGTGTGGTGTTGGTGTGACTTAAGTAGTAATTTACTTCTAAATATGAATAATTTATCACTGATTCAAATTATATTCCTATTTTTTTGTGTTGGGTGACTAGTCAGTGATTCAAATTTTGCTATTGTAAAAATGATCTAGTCAAAAGTCATGGAAACATGTTTTTCTATTACTTTAACTCATCAAATTTAAGCAATTTCAACTCCATTTTTTTAAGTTATATGAGATTCAGCAGTCAATATAATTGAAGTTGTCCAGCCAATTTGATTATACTTACAAATTTAAGCCAGCAACTGAAGTTAATTTTTTAAGTTCAATTAGATAGAATGTGCCTTGTCAGGCTAGATGTCATATTTAATATTTTGTGAATGAAAACTAGGCTGACACTTGTCGTTTAAATGAGTTTTATTGTTGTGTACCTGAATTTTGGCACTTCAGCTGACAAATATTAAAAAACTTCTTTAAATATTTAGGGACCATAATATCGTAGAAATTTACGGTTGGGCTGTTTTGACTTTGGTTAGTAACTCAGTAAATCTATTTTTAGTAGTGCTGTCAAACGATTAATCGCGATTAATCGCATCCAAAATAAAAGTTTTTGTTTACATAGTATATGTGTATGTACTGTGTATATTTATTATGTATATATAGATACACACACATACAGCATATATTTTGAAAATATTTGCATGTATATATTTAAGAAAAATATGTTACCTTTGTATATTAAATATATTTATATATAATATAATTTTTTTATGAATAAATATATACATGCAAATATTTTCAAAATATATGCTGTATGTGTGTGTATCTATATATACATAATAAATATACACAGTACACACACATATATTATGTAAACAAACCCTGTTATTTTGGATGCGATTAATCGCGATTAATCATTTGACAGCACTAATTTTTTGTTACTTTTGCACTTTTATCATATCATTAGTGCTACTGTAAAATGTTTTAGAGATTGTTGCAAAGATTATTGGAATAGTTTCTTTGTGATAATACTAGCAAATTCTGAGTGAAAATGATTTGTACACCAAATTTATTTCAGTGTGTGTTTGCTATGTTTTTTCACATAGACAATCATTTCAGGAGTGAAAGAGGGAATGTAAACAAAATTTTTGACCCTGGCCTCCAACAGGATGAGACTCGAAACTAAAACAAAAAAAAGAGGAAATAATCGGAGGACACGTGGAGGTTCCTCAGCCGCCTTCTGTGACCCTGAGAGCTCATAATGCTCAGGGTTGTGACCCTCGGAAGAGAAGTGCCACTATATATGTGAAGCTGAATTATTTTGGGGATTGAATGTATGGAGGTTTTGGCCCTTTGTTGACTCAATATTGTGGTCACTCGAGGACAGAGCCGCTTGTGGCCACGGCAGCGTCTTGCCAACAGATACAGCAGATGATATTTACCTCGAGCTCTGTCAGTTATATCAAATGACTTGGGTTTTATTTTACTTTGCTCTTTTTTCATTTGAAACAATATTTTTGTAGAGAAGAAGAGGCATGGGAAGAATGTTTGAACAGTTCACATTAGTAAGAAGCCATTTCCGACAGTGGTTTTGTTTTATATTTGGGTTGTCAATCAATTAAAACCCTAATTGAGCTAATTACACGATAAGCCAGTTAATTTGTCAAATAAAATCACAATTAATCACATATATCAATATTTGCTGAGAATACTCCTCTAAATGAAGATCATTCAAAGACATTGCTACTTTGGCAGATGAAAGCATTGAACAGACAAGGCAAAAGTGGATTTAGAAATCAATATATTGATTATTTCTATAGCATTGCACATACATCTATCAGAGTCCACAGTTGGATTTAGTAGATGTAGTCACTTCTATTCTGTTTTTAATTGGTCTGCATGTATCAGATTTTAGTGTCTTGCATCAAGAGTGCTGTTTGCCATAGTTGTTGTTAATATTTTAGCGTTATTTAAATATATAATTGAATATAAAATTATAATAATTTTAGAACATCTTATATAATTTCTTATTTGATTCTATATTTTATTATAAATATGTTGCTATATTACATAAAACTCTTAAATGTAATATTTATTTTATATAAATAAATGTGTATTTAATAATAACAGTTTATATAAGAATAACAATGATTTTTATTAAACTTAAATTACTTATTGTTTAATATACAGCTTTAGAGATCATACACTGTATACATTTGCATTTTCCAATGCGCATCCTATGTTTATGTAACTGGGTTGTGCTTGGGGTGTTCTTTTACATGGAAAATGGAGACGGAAGAATAACAGATTTATGTTTATGCATTTATGATTCAGCAAACACCCCTGATTACCACAGTCGTGATGATTGAAACGGATGAGGCAGCAGCATTATGAAGTTTATTTGAGGTGTTTATGCTTCTCTGGTGGCCTGATGAGTCTCAGTGTGGATTCATCCATGTGTGATATCATGTGTCCAATCCTGTGAAAAGAATAATTTAGATTTTTTTTCTTTCCATCGTCTTCGTTCTAATCAAGAGCTGTTGACCCTCATTACAGGAGTGAGAAGAGGATGCTGTTGTGAGTCCTTGATTAGATGGACTAGTGATCCATTTCTCTCTCTCGCGCTCTCTCTCTGTAATATTTTTTGGTAAATTTACCATTTTTTCCCCATACACAGATTTACCATGGTGAACATGTTTTCCACTATAGTGTCATGGTTAATTGTTGCTATTGTAAAAGCATAGTTTTTGAACAGTAAGATTTTTAATGGTTTTTTTTATTTTTAAGAAGTCTCTTCTGCTCACCAAGCCTGCATTTATTTAATCCAAAATACAGGCAAAGCAATAATATTTTGAAGTATTTTTACTATTTAAAATAACTGCTTTCTTTTTGAATATATTTTAAAATGTAGTTTATTCCTGTGATCAAAGCAAAATTTTCAGCATCATTACTTCAGTCTTCTTCAGTGTTATATGATCTTTCAGAAATGCTGATTTGCTGTTCCAGGAACATTTATTATTATCATTATCAATATTTAAAACAGTACATTTTTTCAGGATTCTTTGATGAATAGAAAAATCTAAAGATCAGCATTTATCTGAAATAAAAAGCTTTTGTAACATTATTCACTATACCATTCAAATGCTTGGAGTCAGTATGTTTTCTTTGGGAAAGAAATTGTAGAAATGAATACTTTTATTTAGCAAGGATGATAAAGACATTTATAATGTTACAAAGATTTCTATTTCAGATTAATGCTGTTCTTCTGAACTTTCTATTCATCAGAGACACCTGAAAAAATTCTACTCAACATAATAATAATAATAATAATAATAATAATAATAATAATAATAAATGTTTTTTGAGCAGCAAATCAGAATATTAGAACGATTTCTGAAGGATCATGTGTTAAATGAAGATGGCAATGTTAAATGAAAAATGTTCATTATTTTTATTTTTACCTTTTTTTATTTATTTATTTTTTGTTTTGCTTTTTTTTGTTTAAAAAAGGCTTTAGATCCTTGTATCGCTATATTTTCTATCCATTGGTAATTTTTTAAGTTGTTTTGACAGACTGTGATTTCCATGGTAAATATGTGTATGGGTTATTACCTGCATGTGTCATTTAAAATCATTTAGCGGATGTGTCAAAGCGCAGCAGACAGGCTTCAGAACTTGTTTTTTTTCGCTTTTTCCATGTGAAGGAAAATAATGAATAATTTCTGTGTTATTGATATTTCACGGCACTTGCTTCACCCCGACTGTAGCGTGTCAGGTGATCGTGTGATTCTCTCTCTTTCCTGAACCACTAACCACGAGCTCTCATACCGTATCATATTGTGTTCCTCTATGCCTGAGTTTTAACCATGCCGTTGGACCCGAGGGCTCAATCTGAAACCATCCATTATTTTTCCAGCAAGTGACCAAACTGATTGATGTGTTAATTCACCAGTGATGAAGAGGGGCAGCAGTGAGCTAAAATTAGTGTTGAAAACAAGGCTAATAGATGAGTCCATTTCACCTGAGTGCTTTAAAAAAACAACAACGCGCTGGCATGTGAAGCTGGTGGTTTTATGGGCTCAGCGCTGCTGGTCTCATCAGGTTTCCACCCGGCTTCTTGTTTACAGCTGAGGACGGGCAGAAAGGTCACAGGGGGGCGTTTGTCAGAAATATTGACGCGCTTGAAAAATTGCAGAACGCCCAAACCGTCTGTCACGTTCTTGAATAAATATTTGTTTTGGGTCGGTGCAGATTTGCCAACTCTGCCAGCGCTTAGACACTTTAGAGTGCTGATGGACGCTAATGCTTTCCTCAACTTTCATGTGTTTGCTTTATCTCTGCTCTGTTTTGATGGGAAATTTAGTGCGAATGATTTAATTTCGATATTATTTAGCATTTGGCCACCCGTCGTGTGTTTACCATTATGAAAACAGCCAGAAACACTGTAAAGACTGTCAAATCAGCCTAATTTGCTATTAACAAGTACAGTAATGCTTAGATCTGAGCAGATACCCCCTGATGCTTATGTGACTATCTCTCTCTGTCTGTCTTTTCTGGGTTAAAACGTTCTGCTTAGGCATTCAGCTTTTTCACTGGGACCAGCCGGCTTCTACTGTGCTAATGGAATTACTGTGATTGCTGTTCAATAGCTTCTCCTGCAAATCAGGGAATGTATTACAATACGTCATTATAATACAATGAGCAAGGATTTCGGATTTTGGGAACCTGAAGTCTGCAGTGATTTTTCCAGCATTGTTCGCAACGTTAAATTACAGGAATCTGTCAGAGGTGCGCTTTTTTACATTTTTTTTTTTTATATAAACCATGCAGGTTTCAGTTGAATTGTTGTAAATACATTGTTTTCATGTGCACTATTTATTTAAATAGGTCCTGAAAATGTGATTTGTATGCACTTTTTACTTTTTGCAATTTGTTTTTCGGTTTGAAGCCTGCCGATACATTGTTTGCATTTGCAATTTGCAATTTAAATTTGTGGTGAATGTGATTTAATACCTGTTTTTTCATGAACTGAACATGTCAAAGTATTGATACAAATATCTAAAGTAGCTTTACAGTATAGTGAGAATTGAATATTGTGATGTGTTATTGAATAAAAATGTTGTGGCAGTAGCTTGAGCACATGCTTTCCAGAGACAAATTGAAGCAAGGCTTCATAGTCCTACCATATGCAGAAAAACTGTAGTGCTTAGGTTGTGGTTGAAATGAAGCCTTATTCCGCCTTTGTGTGCTTAATGTGGCGCTTCCCGACCCTTCCGTTCCCTTCTCTTTGGAAAGGGAGAAAGACAGAAAGAAAGGGAGACAGACAACAGGAGCCACGCAGACCTCTTTCATTCCTGCTGTTCTGCCCAGTGGGGGGAAGCAGTGATTGAACAAACGACCGATGTGTTTGATCTGCAAACCGCTTGTGTTAAATTTTCCAAGAGTGAATGAAATGGTGCTATAACCTCTCGCTGCGTTTTTTGTGTTCTTTCTGTCTTCTCTCTGTGATCTTGCGTCTTGCTCAGGTTTAAAAATTGAAAAAGGTTCTTATTCAATACCTTTTTTTATTTTAAATAAAAGCAAATGATTCTCATGGCATTCGGTTAACAGCTCTGGGTGGTGTGTGTGAGATTCATAATTTCTGTAAAAGTGCACCATTTCATGTTGTGTATTTATATATTTAGATTTTTTTAAATATTAGACATATAATTTAATGCATTTATTAAGTAATTGTATACAATTTATTTCTTCTTTACCATTATTTTGGGTTTCCATAGTCAAGGAAAACCTGGTTATATCAGGACATTTTTAAATTCCATTTTCCAGGCCTAGAAAAGCCATAGAGTTTCTAAAATTAATAGTATAAGTTATATGTAGTTATGTTATTTTGCAGAAAATAGATTTTCAAGCCAGTCTGATTGTAACCACAAAATTTGTTTGTTTAATTCATGGGTTAAACATGTTCCCGGAATGATACTTTAGTGATTGAATTGATCTCACTTTGAATCAATTTTATATATTCTTATTTAGCAATCAGAATTATTTGGAAAGGTCATGGAAATGTATTTGTCACAAAGTGTGGGAACCCTGCATTATTGTTTTGAAATGTAAAATAATCGTCATTTGACATTTGTCTCTATTGACCATCCTTTTTTTCGCCAAATCGCAAAGAATTGTTAAAAATACAGAATCACTTGAATCGGAATCGTTAAATTCCTTACGATTCCCATCCCTATTCTTGCTGTCTGGTTAAGGGCTTCTTCCTAATTAACAAATGTGCTTGGGATTAGTGCTTGCAATGACCATAAAGGTTTATTAGCAATCCATTGAGTGAAAGGAGTGGGAGTGACAAGGCTTGGCACCAACAGAAGCCACTCAATCAATACATACCCCCAAAATCCCCTCACCCAGCTGTCACGCACTGGCTCACAGTCCACTCTGAGTCACTAATGCCTCCAAATGGAGAGCAGGCAGGGATGGATTGTGTCTCAGGCAGAAGTGCTGAAATTCTGATTGTTGGGTTTTAAAATCGGTTATTGTCAAAGTTCATTCTACAAGAACTCAAAGCTTCATTTCTGGTAAGAGTCTGCAAGAGCGCCTCTTGTGCATGTGTACAAGACAGATAAATACGTGCAACACTTAGCTATTGACATTTACGCACCAACAGTGCTGATTTGATGTTCAGAAACTTGGCCTCACTAATCACGGTGAGGTAGTACAAAGGAAGTTGGATGCGTTTTATGGCAGACAAGGTATACATTTGATCAAGTTTATCAAGTTGATGCATTCCCAGGGAATTGAATACAAGATCTTGGTGCTAATGACGCCAATTGTTTGAGCTTCAGGGATTCTCAGTAAAATGTGGGAAAATCTGCCAGACGTGTTCGTGGCTTTATATGGCTGTAGCCGTGTTGCATATCCTTCCAAAGAATCTCAATGATACAAACACGTAGTTTTGCTACTAAATGCATTATCATCATTGCATGATCAAAATTTGTGATGCTTATAGGTATTGCAGCTTTGGAAAGAGGTTGTTATTGAAGGATGAGGAGTAGTGGAAACTATATTGTACTATATTACAAACTGGCAAGAAACAGGCTGTTTAAATATAAGGGTCAGATTGTGGGTCAAAAAAACAAATTATGACTGTTTCTGTGCAAAAAGTATTGCCTTGGGGGAGAAAATGAAATTGTAAAGTATGATGACCCCTTTAATGCAATTAAACTTTTAAAGATAAGACATTGCTTTGCCTGCATAATCCATTTTCAAACGAACTAATTTTTTTTTCTTGTTTCTCTCTTTTTCATTGTAGACATGAACCACTGAGACAGCAAAAGAAGAAAAAGCCTGGAATACGCTTGAGGGAAGAGCTTCGTCTCATTCCCCCCTCCACATTAGAAGGTTTGGAATCATGAGGTCCTTGTGGCTGCTGGTATTTTCCGTCTCTGTTTTGACCGGGACCAACATGGCGTTTCCCATGACTCCTACTGATGCCCCTGAAGTCTCTGGGAGCTTCAGGGTTAAAGACACGAGCCTCACGCACCTCACCGTGCACCACAAGACTGGCGAGGTGTTCATCGGCGCGATAAACCGAGTCTACAGGCTCTCCGCCAATCTGACCGAAATGCGCTCGCACCAGACGGGTCCCGTGGAGGACAACGCCAAGTGCTACCCGCCCCCCAGCGTACGACCATGCACGCAGAAACTGGAATCCACTGACAACGTCAACAAATTGCTGCTGGTTGATTATGCTGGCAACCGTCTGGTGGCTTGTGGAAGCATCTGGCAGGGCGTGTGCCAGTTCCTGCGGCTGGAAGATCTCTTCAAGCTTGGTGAACCACATCACCGTAAAGAACACTACCTCTCGGGAGCCAAAGAGCCAGATGGGATGGCTGGAGTTGTGGTGGGCGATGACGACGGAGACTTGAAGAAGAAAAAGAAAGGTGACAGCCGCCTCTTCATTGGCGCCGCCATCGATGGCAAATCTGAGTATTTCCCAACCCTATCCAGCCGTAAACTGGTGGCAGATGAGGAGAAAATGGAAATGTTCAGCTTGGTTTACCAAGATGAGTTTGTGTCCTCTCAAATCAAGATACCTTCAGACACCCTGTCTCAATATCCCGCATTCGACATCTACTACGTTTACGGGTTCTCCAGCCGCACTTACATCTATTTCCTCACTTTGCAACTGGATACCCAGCTCACCCAGGTTGATGCGACGGGCGAGAAGTTCTTTACCTCAAAAATCATCCGGATGTGCTCCAATGACACTGAGTTCTACTCCTACGTCGAGTTCCCACTTGGGTGCACCAAGGATGGCGTGGAATACCGACTTGTCCAAGCCGCCTACAAGCACCGTCCTGGGAAGATTCTGGCCCAGGCTCTCGGCCTTTCTGAGGACGAAGATGTCTTGTTTGTGATCTTCTCCCAGGGTCAGAAGAACAGGGCTAACCCACCGAGAGAAACAGTGCTGTGCTTCTTCACGCTGCACCAGATCAACTTGGCCATGAGAGAGAGGATCAAGTCGTGTTACCGCGGGGAAGGAAAGCTGTCTCTGCCATGGTTGCTCAACAAGGAACTGCCTTGTATTAATACGGTGAGTCTTTGAATAAATTTTCGCTCTTTATCTGTTTTATTTCAAGTATTTGTGATCACAGTTTTGCCAAGTAGGGTGCGTTCGTTAATCTAATCAAATTTTAGGGGTAGGTTCAGGGTTACGCTTGGGGTTGGTGTTAACAACAGCAACGTTCTTATTCTTACCAACTTATAATTACCTTTTGGTTTTTGGGATTAAGTTTAGGGGTATGTAGGACTTTGTTTGCCTGACAGGAATGTTGTTTCAAGCATCAAGAAATTCCTGAATTCTAGGTTCTTGGATCAACATTGTTTTATCAGCCTTCTTATGGAACGCTCAATCTTTTCAGTCATTGGGCAAGACCCAATGCACAATTCATCAACGCCACCAATGCTCAATATACAGTGGGTAAAATAAGTATTGAACACATCAGCATTTTTCTCAGTAAATATATTTCTAAAGGTGCTGTTGACTTGAAATTTTCACCAGATATCGGTAACAACCCAAGTAATCCATACATACAAATAAAACGAAACAAATAATTTCAGAAATTAAGTTATGTGTAATAAAATGGAGTGACACAGGGGAAAAAGTATTGAACACATAAGAAAGGGAGGTGCAAAAAGGCATGGAAAGCCAAGACACCAGCTGAAATCTATCAGTAATTAGAAAGTCAGTGGAAATGAATATTAGCTGGTTCAGTCCCAACACCTACAGTACCAGGATGATGAAGATGAAACAAGGGTGGACATTTCAGCAAGACAATGATCCCAAACACAGCCAAGGAAACTATTGGTTTCAGAAAAAGAATATAAAGCTGCTAGAATGGCCCAGCCAATCACCTGACATGAATCCAATAGAAAATAAGAAGTAAAGATCAGAGTTCAACATTCGCTATCGCGTTCCGGGGTGGGGGGGATCCTCGGTCCATTCGCCACATTGCACCCCTCTAAGGACGGCCCTGCCTTTAGAAATATATTTACTGAGAAAAATGGTGACGTGTTCAATAGGCCTACTTATTTTACCCGCTGTATGTATGTTTTTAATAAATTTATTTGTGTCCACTTATATTGGATATTAATTGGTTTCAGCCTATTTTTTCCCCTTATATCAGGGGTGTCCAAACTGGTTTTAGCTTCAGCTTGTGTTTAGCTCCAGCTTGAATCAACACACCTGCCTGGAAGATTCTAGTACGCCTAGTAAGAGCTTGATTAGCTGCTTCAGGTGTGTTTAATTGGGGTTGGAGCTAAACTCTGCAGGACAGTGGCCCTCCAGGACCCAGTATGGGCAACCCTGCCTTATATCTAGCACTAATTTAAAGAAATAGCAATAGATTATGACAGATATTTAACCATTTGAATGCACCATTTCTTGACATGCACTTCCCTTTTAAGAATGTATGTCAGTGTCTAATTTAAACAGCATGCTTTTCTTTTTATAGTCCCCCCACATAGTATAGATTCACAGTAGTGGCCATATATCAGCCATGTTAAAATAATATTTGGCTTATTGATATTGCCAGAATTGTAACATTAGTGCATCTCTACACCCTAACTATGAGCTTAAACGCATCCAAGTCCTAAAATAAGAGGGAAATTATATTTTTGGTAACACTTTAGTATAGGGACCAATTCTCACTGTTAACTGTTTGCTTATTAGCATGCATATTACTAGCATATTGACTGTTTATTAGTACTTATAAAGCACATATTCTGCATGACCATATTCTACATCCCTAATTCTACACCCCAATACCTAAACTAAAACTTAACAACTACCTTATTAACTATTAATAAGCAGTAATTAGAAATTTACTGAGGCAAAAGTTGTAGTTAAAGGGGTCCTATTATGCGTTTTCACTTTTTCAACGTTAGTTAGTCTGTAATGTTGCTGTTTGAGCATAAAAAAAATCTGCAAAGTTACAAAGCTCAAAGTCCAGTTCAAAAGGAGATATTTTATTTAATAGAAATCACTTTTCAAAAACTACAAGGAACGACTCGTTTGGACTACAACGCATATTTTCTGGATTTGTGATATCACAAATATCGACGAATGGGATGAGACCTGGTTGAGCTGCACTAGAGAAGGCAACGAGTGTTATCACTATGTCGGAGACGCGCTAGTTTCCCCAAGGCAGACAAATTTAGAGTGGTTACAATCATCCGGGCTTAAATCGCGCTCAAATTGATTTGATTTTGATGCAATATTTATACTGAAGCTTGCAGGCGGCTATGGTAAGGGGCATGACATTTCCCGACCAGGCGCCGAGTGCTGCCAATCACAACACACACTGGCCCAGCTAACCAATCACAGCACACACTGGCCCAGCTAACCAATCACAGCACACACTGGCCCAGCTAACCAATCACAGCACACACTGGCCCAGCTAACCAATCACAGCACACACTGGCCCAGCTAACCAATCACAGCACACACTGGCCCAGCTAACCCTGGGGAGAAAGGTATTGTAATAATGTAAATTATGTGAAAAATGCACCAAGCATGAGAGCATGTGCTAGTACACCCCCAAAACAAAATCAAGACTTTGTAAAAGAGCATAATAGGACCCCTTTAAAATAAAGTGTGACCATATATTTTTTTATGTCCTAACCTTATCTTATTGACTGATTGCAATGTTATTCCAATGTTGATGTCCTCCTTGTTTAAATCATGTTGTTAAAGCATGTATGTCACAGCAGGTACCCCAGGGTTTCCGTGCTCACATAATAATAGACCTTTGGTCTGTTGTCTGTTTTTTTTCTATCATTGTTGCGCCTGAAAAACTAATTTGTGGATGCTATACATGATTCCCATTGACCTAATTGTGACATGTTGCAGACTTTTCAGGAATGCTTGTGTAGGGGAAACTGTCTAACATGATTACACATCTTAATCTGATGTAATGTATCTTTGATGAAAAATCTATTCAAACCAGACAGGGTGGGAAGCAATAGCTTATTATGTGAGAGATGAAGAAGGTGATGGCTAGACATCAAAATCAATACGCCTCTGACATTTTAAACCAGTCAAGTGTACCACGCGAGGTCTGCCTCTGGAAACCCTTGAAGCTTTATTTATGAATCTTTAATATTTGTCTCCTGTAATTCAGTGACAAATCACACTTATGATTTGATGTTATTTATCTGCCTCGAAGCTAGCCGTAGGCTTGTTCTGCAATTCGCAAATCCTTTAAATAGTGTGTTTACATCAACTCTGTCCAAAGTTTAGGTATTATTAATTTCTTTGGGGTTAAACATCCTGTAATTTTGAAGCTAATTAGCCAATAGTAGAGATGGCGCCAAAAAGTACCATGGTACAAATCCAGTATTCTTGCATGTAAGCAAAATCGCCAATTAGGGATGCATCAAGAAATGCAATTTTGATTGATTATGGAATTTGTAGACAATTATTAATATTCAGTGTATTACAAAGGTCAATGCAGATTCCATGCACACTCTTACAAGAAATGCTGAGCATGCATGACCGAGGAAAAAAGGGCATTTAAGAAAGTTTACACTGTCAAATTTGGGGTTTTGTGCCATTATTCATGTTCATGTGTGCTTATTTCAGCAAAGCAAGTTAATGGTTGATATTTTCCTGCTAAATTATGATAATATGTAATTCTTATGCTCTGGAATATTCAAAGAAATGATTTCAAATCAACTGGAAAAGACTTGCACTTAATTCATAAGCCATTTATAAGTAGCTAGTTGTTAAGACGTTTGTTTTCTGCATAAACGTGACCGATTTAATGTGTATTAGTTTAGTAATTGTTTATAGTATGCAGTTGTATCATGCATATTCAGCAACAGTTTCTATTTCTAGGTATTGAAGCCACAATTTTGGTTTTGAACCAACCCTAGTGTACATATTGAATCATTTTGCTGCATGTCGTTTGATATGTTAGTTGTCTGGTAGTTATTTAGTGACTGTGCTTGTAAACTTAAACTCTCCTCGCGCTACAGTAGCAATGTTTTCCCCCTCGAAAAAATAACAGAAAGCATTAGCAAACCGGCTGAGTTTGTTTTTCCTTCTTGCCTGGAGGACAACCAGACGAGAGGACAATTTGCATCCGCGGCTGTAATTGCGCCGGGACCAATAGCACAACACCTCGCGGCCCGGCTAGAGCAGATGGGGCGAAGATGGCGAGTGCCGATGACCTCGTTCCTTTGGGGGGTGGGGGTGGGAGGAGTGGCTGTGGTTGTTTTTATGAGCAACAACAGGGTTCCCCATGACTGATGCAAATCTGCTCCTGATTCCAGCGCCGCGGCTGCCGGGGTATTATTAGCTCTTTCTCATGCGCGGCAATGGCCCTCTGCCTTATAATGAGAGCGTGCGTGTCTGCCGCGAGCTCATGCTTCATTTAATACATTTACCCTTCATGTGCATGCACAAAAACAAGCCGTTCCTCCGGCCAACATCACCCTCTCAATCATCATTCAACGGCATGCTCTCAAGACGCCCATCGCCTCGAAGAATTTGGGCAGAAAGTGCCAAAAAATTCAGCTGTTGCTGTTGCTGTTGCACCTTCATGTTCGTCATTACCGCCGTGAAACGTCTTGCTGTTGGTGCTGATGTCATTCATCCGCAGGCGCATCCGCGGCTGTAATTGCGCCGGGACCAATAGCACAACACCTCGCGGCCCGGCTAGAGCAGATGGGGCGAAGATGGCGTGTGCCGATGACCTCGTTCCTTTGGGGGGTGGGGGTGGGAGGAGTGGCTGTGGTTGTTTTTATGAGCAACAACAGGGTTCCCCATGACTGATGCAAATCTGCTCCTGATTCCAGCGCCGCGGCTGCCGGGGTATTATTAGCTCTTTCTCATGCGCGGCAATGGCCCTCTGCCTTATAATGAGAGCGTGCGTGTCTGCCGCGAGCTCATGCTTCATTTAATACATTTACCCTTCATGTGCATGCACAAAAACAAGCCGTTCCTCCGGCCAACATCACCCTCTCAATCATCATTCAACGGCATGCTCTCAAGACGCCCATCGCCTCGAAGAATTTGGGCAGAAAGTGCCAAAAAATTCAGCTGTTGCTGTTGCTGTTGCACCTTCATGTTCGTCATTACCGCCGTGAAACGTCTTGCTGTTGGAGCTGATGTCATTCATCCGCAGGCTAAGCTGACCTCTCGTTGCACTTTACTGAGGTTTTTTTATGTGGCGTTGGATGCCGAGGTCCAGAGTGTTTTCCGTCGAGCGCTGAGAACCTGGTAATGAGTCAATAGTTCACCTCGGGGGTGAACCGGGGGACTAGGTTTGGTGCTCGATGACATCATCACTTGACCGATTGATGTGTTGCAGATGTTAGATAACGCAATTGATTTTTGAATAACTCTTCTGACTCTGATTTCCTTGAGGAGAAACGACATACAGCGATTTTCTTGTAGTTTATCCTCCTTTGTGTCAGTGGACAGCCATTAAAACCGGCTGAAATAATGCTTTTCAGAGACGCTCGGAGGGTAAATGGTGCCTCTTTCAGGAGAGAGCGCATCTGAAGTGATAAAGCACTGACAGTGAGGTAGATTGCAGGATGATGTCATGTCTCACCGGTCGGTGCGCGCCGGCCCCCGGTCTGATCCCCATGGGGTCACTTTCGCAGTCTCTGTTTGGGTGGCTCTTCTCTGTCTGATCTATTAGCTGGCACTTCCTGTCTGAGATGCTGTGATTTGACGACAGCTGGAGAAAGCTGTTGTTGGGTCTCCAGGCTATTTGTTTGCTTGTGTGGATGTATTTTTATTTTTGTGATATGCAAATGCATTTAAGTGTTTAACCTGAAATCTGGCCCACAAATTAATTTTTACTTTCTGCATTCTGATTTAATGTCCCAAAGATCTACTAAAGATGACTAAACAATGGCATAATACGAACTACTCAGCATTTGTTGTTAAGGGTCCTTAAACCGCCAAGAAGTAATTATTTTATATTAACGAGACAGGCGGACTTTTTATTTTATTTCATTTCATTCATTAACTTTATTTGCTAACCGCATCATGTAGTCGTTTTTACTGAATTTTAAATATTTTGTATTCATTTTTTTGCAATTAATTTAAAAATTGTTTTGTTTCGTGTTTTTTCAAAGCCACGTGGACTTTTTAATTTAATTTAATTTTAATTTAATTTAATTTAATTTAATTTAATTTAATTTAATTTAATTTAATTTTAATTTAATTTAATTTAATTTAATTATTTTTTAAATTATTCTAACAAAATTTTAGTTGTTTTAACTGAATCTTTAATATGTTGTAGGCCTATGTATTTTGTATTAATTATATGCCTTTTTTTTGTTTACTTATTTGTTTTGGTTTTATTTTTTATTTTTTGTTTTAAATCACTGCAACAGATTCACTAACACTATCATGATATAGTTTTTTTTAATGAATCTGAAATATTATGTATTGTATTCATTTAAATTTATCATTCAATTTAAAAAAAAGTATGTATTAGTTGAATTACTTATTGTTTTATTTATTTATTTTTATTTTATTTTAATCCCATTTTCAATGTAGCCTTTCGGACCTGTTTTTACACGACTTACGTCAGGCCTAAAACATGAACAAAAACAATCTGATGAATATGAACTAATTACGCTTCATTGTTTCTCGTTTCGTCCCGTAGCCCAAGCAGATTGGCGATGATTTCTGTGGTCTGGTTCTGAACCAGCCTCTCGGAGGACTGAGGGTCATTGAGGGCACTCCTCTGTTTGACGACCGCACTGACGGTATGGCATCCGTGGCCGCGTACACTTACGGAGGTCATTCGGTGGTGTTCGTGGGGACTCGCAGTGGCCACCTCAAGAAGGTAAGAACTAACCATTCTGTGTCTTCCACCGCTGACTGTTACAAAGATATTGGGTTTTTGGTTTCTCCTTGACATTGCTTGATTGGGGAGTGATATGTAGAAGATGTAGATACAGTATGTAGAAGATGTGGATAAGTGAGTTTGGTAATGGTTGAAGTGCATTGATGGACTAATCCGTTATCATTTTCTTCCAATCCATCTTTGATTCTGTACTTCGTCAGGTCAAAGTCAACAGCATGTGCTACAGTGTTACGTTTTCACAATTTTTAACTCGATTTAGAGAAAGGTGGAATACATTTATTTTATGTGTATGTTTTATGTGTACATTACTGTTCAAAAGATTGTGGTTGGTACATTTTTTTGTTTTTAATGTCTCTTATGCTCACCAAGGCTGCATTTGTTTGATTGGCAATACAGTAAAAACAGTAATCTTGTGAAATATTATTACAATTTAAAAGAACAATTTTCTATTTGAATATATTTTGGGCCGGTTTCACAGACAGGGCTTAGGTTAAACCAGGATTAGGCCATAGTTCAATTAGGACATTTAAGTAGTTTTTAGAAATATGCCTTCGATATAAACATTGATACAGACAAAACAATGAATCTGACATATTTTAAGATCAGTCAGTGCAAGTTTCTTTCAGTTAAAACAGCCCAGACACGCATTTTAGTGTGGGACTAGGATTAAGCCTTGTCTATGAAACCGGAGGTTTATGTAATGTAATTTATTCCTGCGATGCAAAGCTAAATTTTCAGCATCATTACTCCAGTCTTCAGTGTCACATGATCCTTCAGAAATCATTCTAATATGATTTGCTGCTCAAGAAACATTTAACACACTAGCACACACACAAAAATATATGAAATAGGTTTAATAAATAGATTTGGTATTTTGCTTTATAGTTTTGATCTAACAAGTTTCTTTCAGTTAAAACAGCCCAGACACGCATTTTAGTCTGGGACTAGGATTAAGCCTTGTCTATGAAACCGGAGGTTTATGTAATGTAATTTATTCCTGCGATGCAAAGCTAAATTTTCATCATCATTACTCCAGTCTTCAGTGTCACATGATCCTTCAGAAATCATTCTAATATGATTTGCTGCTCAAGAAACATTTAACACACTAGCACACACACAAAAATATATGAAATAGGTTTAATAAATAGATTTGGTATTTTGCTTTATAGTTTTGATCTAATTAGCATGCTGAGAGTGAGTGAGTTTGTTTGTACAGCCCTACGCATTCAGACTGACGTCTTTGACTCCCGTGTCGTCTCTCACAGTTTTTTTTTTAGCGTCCCGCCATGCGCGTTATGTTTTTTAGTCAGCGTGTTAAGTTAAAAATACATTTTTAACACTCATCTCTAGACCCCTGCGTTCTGTTACAGTCTGTTGCGCTCCTCGGGGCTGTTTTTGAACCCAGTGTTTCTGATGGGGGTCAGATGAACCTGAAGTGAGCCTAAATATGACCCTGGAGCACAAAACCAGTCTTAAGTTGCGTGGAGATATTTGTAGCAATAGCCAAAAATACATTGTATGGGTCAAAATTATAGATTTTTCTTTTATGCCAAAAATCATTAGGATATTAGGATGTTCCATGAAGATATTTTGTAAATTTCCTACCGTAAATATATCAAAACGTAATTTTTGATTAGTAATATGCATTGCTAAGAACTTCATTTGGACAACTTTAAAGGCTATTTTCTCAATATTTTTATTTTTGTTTTGCACCCTCAGATTCCAGATTTTCAAATAGCTGTATCTCAGCCAAATATTGTCCTATCCTAACAAACCATACATCAATGGAAAGCTTATTTATACAAATCGACACTAGTAATTGACAATTAAGACTGGTTTTGTGGTCCAGGGTCACAAATGTATTATCTTGAATTAGCCGTTCATCTGGATCTCAGAAGAATGGCGATTTGCACATAGACTGCAACTTAAAAGCACCTTTCCCCTTCATTCCAACACGTACGCAAACCACCAACAAAGCCATAATAAAAGCACCACCTTGTGACTCAGTCATCCAGACCGGAGCAGGCGACAGCTGGGGATGTTTAAAGAATAATATGCCCACTGGTGAGTTTATGATGGTTCTCCACAGAAGTTACTACATTTTCCTCTCAAACAACAGCTTGACTCGTTCATAGCTAACAATTCGGCCCACTGAATCTCGAGGGAGCCAAAGCGAGAGGGTGGAGTCATTTTTTTGGCCGGTCGTAAATAGTTCAAGCTGTGTATGAAAAGAGAGAGAGAGCGAAACCCAGTCGGCATTAAAGTTTAACATTACTCAGCAGCCACCCGGCCTGATACGTGCCCTATATTAGGTCATCGTGAGGAACTTTTATTCGCGACGGCTTTAAGTTACAGTTCATTGAGAGAATTAACGGAATTAGATTAGATGGGAGGCCGATGAAATCACTCTGAGAAGCTGACTTGGCTCTTTCTCAGCAGACATCATAATTAAAATGAGGTAGATGGGGAGGAAAATATGCTACGGTTTTGTGTGCGTTCGCCGTCCCAGCGCCCAGCTGAAGAATATAAATGCGATTGCATCCATTCTCCTATCGGAATGAGGGAGCAGGGGTCAGTCCTGTGGGAGCCGTCCTGTTTGGGATTATTTACGGGAGTTTGTGTCTAAACATGTCCTGATATATACCTCTGGATCGCTGCAGATCAGACTGTTTGGAAACAGGGATACATCCGGAGATTGAATTCGAGTTTTTGGCTGATAGTCGTGTGATTGTCCGTGGTTAATAAACAATACGCCGCTTGTGGTCGAGCTGATAATAAGCAGCTCTGTTTGTTGATGGAGATTATATGATGTTACAGAAACGCTCCCTCATCCATATGGCCTTCATATTGACCGCAAATCACAATAAACAGAGATGTGGGGAAATCGTAATGTTTGTATTTTCTCGCAAACATTCTGTCAGGATGAAGTGGTAAATGGTTTGTGTACGAATCTGGTCGGTGTTAGGCAGAGACTCGCTTAGAGGCTGGTAGTTATGATTTCATATATGTGCTTTGTTCCTGCATAAACAGGAGATGTGGAGGAAGTGTGGATGGCTTTAGCGCATATTCCAAGGAAAACTGAATTTTCCAGTCTAGAATTAGCTTTGTGTTTTTAATCCAACAATGAATCATAAGGATTAACCAGTTAAATGTTTAACCCTGACCAAAAAGAGTTGAAATGTAGAGCAAAACTTGATATATTAGCCAAAACTGGCATAAAAAAAAAAAAAGTACTTCTGTTTATTAGTAATATATAAAAATATTATTTATATTATATATATATTCTGGATTTTAGAGTAGTAACTTTAGTGTTTTTTTTCTTCTTGTGTGTGAAAACTATTAGCTAGTGCACTACCTTTCAAAAGTTTGGGGTTGGTAAGATTTCATAACTCTCTTATGCTCACCAAGGCTGCATTTCACAGTAATATTGTGAAATATTATTACAATTTAAAACAACTTTTATCTATTTTTAAAATGTAATTTTATTCCTGTGATGCAAAGCTGAATTTTTTTAGCATCATTAATCCAGTCTACAGTGTCACATGATCTTTCAGAAATCGGAAATCAATTTTATTTTCTAGTATTAAATATTAATTTCTGATTATTATCAATGTTAATGTGGTTATTTTTATGGAAAGCATGATGCATTCATTTCAGGATTTTTTGATGAATAAAAAATTCAAAATAGCCCTTATTTGAAATCCATTTCAAACATGTTTTTCTAGTTTTCTCATAAGCTGTGTGCAAAAAAAAAAAAAAAAAAAAAAAACGTGCTACCAGTGATTCACAAGCAAATGACTTTTATGTACAGGTTCTTTTTCGCAATCATTGAAGAAATTCGTAAGGATGTGTATATTGCAATATTTTTTGTTTATGAGCTTAATTACAAATATTTATTGTATTTCAATTAATTTTTGCTTTTCCACTTTTAGCAAACATACTAGTTACTAAAACAGCTTTGCGTTTGAACATGCTAGCTTGGCACAAGAAAGAAAAGTTGTTGTTTTTTTCCTGACATTTCTAGTCTTTCATTGGCATATGAATAGATGATTACATATAACTCATTTAGCCACAGAGAGCATCATTTATCTCTCTGTAAACGGTCTGCGAAAGGCCTGTTGTGGTGATTGTGTACAGTGGTTTTGAGAGTGTTGGTCTACCTGCTATAATGTGGTGTAGAGAATACGGGAGAAGGCTGGGTAATTGCTCCATATCTCCCCTCGCAATGGCTTGTTTGTTTTGGCAGGAGAAAAGAGACAGCAAGCCGCTTTTCTCAAGCTGCACGGAAATCACCCATGAGTCTTTAGTGCTTCCTGTCCCTAGTTGGCTGCAAGTTGACTCCTGGAGTCAAAATACTGGAGAGTTTTGTTACAATCTAGTTTCTCTGAATCATCCCGCCTATATAGGTACAGTCTTTTTTAGCATAGCTTTAGTTGGCTGTTACATTTGCTAATGCTTAGTAATGCTAAACTTTGTCTCTTAAGGGGCTCCATGCTGTTTGTGCTACAGACATGAATGATACCTCAAATTGTGTGTGCTATCAGTTATAGCTTTTGAGTCATTGGCCAGTAATGTTAAATTAACATTTCCAAAAAGGGACAATATTTGCCTTTAGGAAATGATTTTCATGGTATTTATTTATTTCCATATAAAATACATAACATTTACCAGTAATATTTAAGAATTAAAAAAAAAGATCCTTTTTTATGTCAGATACTTCTTTGCAACATTTATAAATTAAGGGGTAGGCCTCTATGATTTCATTTATTAAGGGAAAAAAACGGTCCAAACCTACCTGGCCCTACGTGAAAAATGAATTGTCCCCTCCTGTTAAATCATGAAAGAACTGTGATTAACCACATTATTTTAGAAAGCTGAGTTAAATTTCACTAGCCA